CTGGCCCAAGCACTCCCACAATCAGGGTTCTAATCCAGATCTGTTGAACTCAGAGCACATACTTTTACCCTTGCTACTGATAAAGATTCTACAATCGACACTAATGGAAGCAGCCGTCAGGACATTAGACGACGTATAGCACTGGGCAAGTTGGCTACAAGGGACCTCTTTGAAGTGCTGAGGAGCAAGGATGTCTCCTTATGGACTAAGGTGCACCTGACACAAGCCATGATATTTTCAATTGCCTCGTATGCATGTGAGAGCTGGACAACGAATAAAGAACAAAGAATTGATGCTTTTGAGTTGTGGTGCTGGCAAAGAATATGGAAAGTACCATGGACTTCTAAAAGAACTAACAGATTTGTACTGGAGGAAGTGCAGCTGAAATGCTCCTTGGAAGTGAGAATCGCCAGACTTTGTCTCACCTACTTTGGTCATGTTTTCAGAAGGGACCATTCCCTGGAGAAGGATGTTATGCTTGGTAAGGTGGAGGGTCGACATAAAAGGGGAAGGCCCTCAACAAGATGGGTTGACATAGTGGCTACGACAATGGGCTCAAGTATAGCTAGGATCATGCAGCTGGTGCAGAAGCAGTGTTTCATTCTGCTATGTATAGGATCACTATGAATCAGACATGACTCGACGACAACAACTGATAAAGGCCAGGAAGATTCACTGAGGTGATGAGCTTAAACTCAATTTTGGAAAGTAGGATTTGTAGGAAAGGAGAGAGAGTGGATTGAGAAAACACAGGATGAAGTCCCAACCCCTTGTCACAAGGTCCTCCATGGTCTATCCCCTGCCACCCTTTACAGCCTTCCTGAGCCATTTGTTCATTCTGCTTCACTGGCTGGATTTTGAGGAGTCTATGAGTGGTGCTAACCAGACGGCTGGCGGTTCAAACCCACCAGCCACTCCTCGGAAGGAAGGTTGGGCAATCCTACTTCCGTAGTGATACTGCCTCGGAAACCCAAGGAGGGGTCGCTATGAGTCGGGGCCGACTCAACGGCACATAACAACAACAACAACATGAGTGGTGCAAAAGGCTAAGTGCTTGACTACTAACCCAGAGGTTGGAAGTTCGGATCCACCCAGAGGCATCTCAGAAGAAAGGCCTGGAAATCTGCTTCTGAAAGCTAACAGCCTCGAAAACTCTATGGGGTACAGTTCTCTGTGACACTTGGAGTCACTATTAAGTCGGAATAGATTCAATGGCATCTAGTTGGTTGGTTGACTTGATTTTGAGACACACCAAGCTGTTTCCCATTCAGAGCTTTTACCCACAGGGTTCCCTGTGCCTGGAATGGTCCTCATTGTGTCTCTTCCTGGATGACTCCTAGACACTTCTGGGAGCTCTACTCAAATGCCATTTCCTTAAGGAAGTCTTCGCTGATCTTCCCTCCCATGCAGAACTGGTCTCATTACACCCTGTACTTCTCCTTTATACCCTTGAAGATAATTGTCATAAGTATTTGCCCAATTATGTATCCAGCATCTGCCTCTCCTATGAGACCAGTGCTATCCAAGAGAACGTCCCACAGTGAGAAGTGTTCTAGGCCTGGGCTGTCCAATATGGCCAACACTAGCCACCTGTAGCTGTTGATCACTTGAGACAGTTAATGCAACAGAAGAGCAGATTTTTAAGTTTTGTATCATCTGGAGTAACTTAGGTTTAAATTGAAATAGCCACATGTGGCTAGTGGCTACCATATTGGACCTTACAGCTCTAGACTCTGAACTCTTCAATGGCATGGACCATATCTGTGGTATTTAGTTGCAGAATCTCTTGCATCTAGGATGGTGTCCAAGTAAATCATTAAATGAATAAATGAATGAATGAAGTCTGCAGCCCTTGCTTTCGAGATATCATCCTAGAAAGGAGAGACCCAGAAAAGTCTGACTTGCCCAAGGTCACACAATGAGACAGAACTGAATGTAAAATCTCATCCTCCTGATCTCCCCTACGTGGTACTGTCCCTGAGTGGACAGCAGGTGAAATGCAGGGGTTGTTTGTGGTGTCAGATGAGCCATCTCAAAGCGGTGTGAAGGTGCCCCACACCCAAGGAAGGACTGTTTTCTTTAGGTGCCTTCCTCTCCCTCCCCCTCCCTCAACTCTGTAAACTACTTAGTGGCTTATAATCTGTTAACACTTGGCCTCCCAGAGGACTGTGCTTCTTCCAAAGGCCACTCTTGCCAGCCCCCTGCAAGGTTCTCTGAATTTTTTTTTTAACCACACATATTGGTCTCAGGAAATCTGCTGACTGCTATCATACGTAATATGCTCAGGGTGTGGCTTAAAAACACCCAAGTAGTGATTTGTAACCCACTCAGATTCAGGTGACTGTTCCTCTTGGTTTTACTCTTTTTTAAACATCGAAGTCAATGCCTTTCAGGGCTAATTTTGACTGCATTCAAATGTAGTTTGGGATTTTGCGGATTACGCTTTCTGAGAGTCTAGAGTAATTTTTTGTAAGTCATTGTTCAGATGTAATAATGATAATAACTAATATGTGCTTAGCGTCTTCTGCCTGCCAGGCTTTTAGCATGCATTATCTCATTTAATTTGCACAATAACTCTATGAATCAAGGACTATTAAGATCCCCATTTTATGGGTAGGGGAATTGAGTCTCAGAGAGGTTAAATCACTTGCTTAAAGTCACACAGCCAGGAAGTGAGAGAGTCAATACTGGAAACCAAGTCTGTCTGACTCAAGAACCAGTGCTGTTAACCAGTACACAATTTGGCCTTCCTAATCAGAATCACGAGCTCTGGTAGCATAGTGCCTAAGGCACCTGACTGCTAACCAGAAGGCTAGAGGTTCAAACCCACCAGCTACTCCTCGGAAGGAAGGTTGGGCAATCTACTTCCATAGTGATACTGCCTCAGAAACCCAAGGAGGGGTCACTATGAGTCAGGTCCGACTCGATGGCACATAACAACAACAATCAGAATCAACTCGATGGCAGTGGGTTAATAGGTAGTATTTGGAGCCGTGGTTGCAGGGTCATTAGCTGCTCAGTGGCTAACCAAAAAGTTGGCAGGTCAAACTTACCAGCTGCTCCATGGCAGTCTGCTTCCACAAAGATTGTAGCCTTAGAAACCCTCTGGGGTGGGTCTACTCTGTCCTATAGGGTCACTATGAGTCAGAATTGACTTGACGGCAGTGGGCAATAGGTATTATATATATACATTTATGTATATAAAACAACAGGAAAAATAATTAAGAAACTTAACTCCAAGGAATGGAACTTGGAATTGGGAAGGAGATTTACTTTTTATTTCTGCACTTCTCCTTGAACTTTGTCACATGCATATATTGTTTTTTATGATTAAAACCTAAATTCATTAAAACATTTAAATAAGTAAAAACCTCTTCCTATTTTTCCCTTTTTTTTTAATTAAGGAAGAACTTGTTGTAACAGTGCCATGTCTATGCACCAGTAGATTAAATATATGTGAATCTTTGCATAATTTACAAAGTTCATATGCTCTGACATTATTTGAAAATTCATCCCAGTTAAACTAAAGTTCCCACATGCACTGTATTACTATTCTGGGTACCAGTTTTCATATTTCAGTTTCTGAATTATTTTTCATTTGGGAGTGATAAGTTTATTTTGGAGCATGGTATTTCCTTTCCATGAAAGTGGTAGGTTTTCCTTGAGAGATTTACACTCATTTACATTTTAGGTTCTCATGTATCCATCTCTAGATTGATAATCAAGTATCCTTTAGCATGTGTGAAATAATACTGTGTTACATAATACAGTATGTTATTTGGGAATCAATGAACACGAGCCTAAATTTAAAATTTTAATTATGTAAAATGTAAAAATTAAAATTAACTTACAATGAGAAGTAAACAGTAGAGCCCCCATCAGTACTCAGAGCCTCAAAGACCTATACTAGTCACATTAAAAGTCACTTGGGAGAATTCCTCAGTGGCTTAGGAAAAATATTTCTTTAAGAAAATACACCCATGCTAAGCAATAAATAATATCTCCTTCCCAACAAACCCAAGTGAAGTCTAGTTGTATCATCCAAATGGCTAGTGCTTCTAAAAACAAAAATCCCCAGAAATGTTCTTTTTAATGCCCCATCGCATACTCTTGGAATTTGTTTAATGAATCACCATCTGCTGGTGGTAGGAAAAATATGTAAGAAAACCCTCTACAAGGTCCCTGTCTTTTCCATTGCTTGGTTGTATTCCTCCACGATTTCCAGAGCAATTTTGGTATCCCTTTAAAATCCCCATCCTCAAAGCGGTGTATTCCTGATGTCCCCGATGACAGCCTTTGAAGGCAACTCTCACTCTAGCTAGCTGTTACAAAAACCTTTCATTCAGAAGAAGGCAAGAGGTCCCAGCCACGGTACACAGCCCTCTCATTCACACACACTTCATAAACAACAGGACTTTGTCCAAGCCTCTCCTCTAGGAAGGAATCCCAGCTTTTCAGAAACCAGTTTGCAACATCAGTATCATTCCCTCCCAAAAGACCTTGCAGAAAAATTAGGAATTTCACAGCATAGGAGAAGGGCTGGAAAGGACTGGTGTCATTGCGTGGGCTCATCGATTCAGTCCACATTTCAAAACAGCAGCTAATGCTTCCTTAAAGCCCCGACCTCAAGATTCCTTTAGGATGGAGAGCAGTTAACAGGGAAAGCATCATACCATGGCTCCCCATAAGCTCCTGATAGATCTGAAAAATTAAACTGAGTCAGAGATACATATAGGCTGGGGCTGTTGGGGTAGGAAAATGGCTTGTCTCCTGCAGGCCTAATTCCCTCCTCTGAGACAGTTCCCTTTAAATTCAAGAAGCCACGCAGAGATGCACCCCCCACACACACGCACACACAAGGGGGTTTTCATTAAAAAAAAAAAAAAAAGCCTGTCTGCCTTTCATTCGCCCCCATGATACTCACGGCAGCTGCCTTAGCTGGAACAAGTCCTCCTCCATGTCCGCGCTGCGCCAGGACGAGCCCTTTTCATGGCCCTTACATGGTGGTGGTGGTGGATGACGAGCCTCGAGTTTTCAGCACCGGGATAATGGACAGCTCCCGCGCCGCTTCCTCCCTCAGGCGGCAGCTGTTCGGGGGAGGGAGCCTGCCCGGGACCAGCCCACGAGACAAAGCCGCCGCCGCCAGGAGACCGCGGCGAGAGTGGGCGGAGAGGAGGCGGCGGAAGGCAAAGCCAGCTGCGCGGAGAGAGGGGGTGGGGAGAGCCCTTCTGGTTAAAAGAATTTATAGGCTCTCTGTGCCTGGTGGTGTCTTACAGGGGTGCCTGTGGGGCACACTAGCCTATGAAATGACTGTCGAGGTACCAATGAAGACCCTTGGGTTCACGATGCCTCTCTAAATGTTTGTTTTCATTAATGTTGTTTGCAGCATAATATTCTTGAAACCCAGGCTGCTATAGCAAATAGAGAGAATGCTAAAGATTTTAAAGGTATTTATGCATCAAACTACTGTTTATTGAGCAACTGAGCGTACAACAGAGAACAAGTTAGACACATCATTGTCATCATGGTCTATATGAGAAAGTCTGAAGGTCATTCGTTCATTCATTCTTTCACTCAACAAACATTATTGAGTAATTTCTACAGCCCTGAGGAATCAAAGACTCTTACAAAAAAGTCCCTGCCTTCAGGGTCCTCTCCACAGTTCAGTGGCTGCCCCCTAGGCCTCCTCCTATTGGAATGTCAGACCTCCTTTAGAACAGAAACTCTATGAAGGTTACAACAACAAAATGCACTGCTGTGGAGTCAGATCTGACTCATAGCGACCCCTCCTTGGGTTTCTAAGGCGGTATCACTATGGAAGTAGATTGCCCAACCTTCCTTCCAAAGA